TGGTCGCGGCGAGAACAAAGAGCACACTGGAGGTCCTGTCTAGGCTCATGGTGATCTACAGGCCCGGGAGTGCACAAGAAAAAGGCCAGTTGTTGCGGAAGATAGAGAACCCAGACCCGTCGAACACGAGTCACGAGGCGGTGGAGGGTCTGAGACAGTGGTTGAGGCACTACCAGAGAGCAAGAGATTTGACGCTTACAACGCCAGATCCTTCTGTGATGCTTCGGGGTCTAGATGCTCTGGTGAGGAAGCCGGTTCAGGATGCTCCAGAAGTCGCGTTCCGCATGAACCTTTTAAGGTACCACCTCAAGGTCGACTTCAACCCGTCCGAGGAGTCCGTGTTAGCGGTGCATCGAGCTTTTCTTGCAGAGTTTGAGCAGTTGGGTTTCAGGAAGAAGGCCCGGACTACGCAGGACAGCGGTGCACAAGGACCCAAGGTCAGAGCTGTAGAAGCTGGGGGCGCACCACCAGCGGGCACGCCTATGCCGACCTCACCGTCTACATCACCAAAGGGCGTGACAAGGCCTTGCAGGTTCTACACGTCGGATGAGGGATGCCGGAGGGGAAAGGCCTGTAAGTACGAGCACAGCATGAAGGACCTCAACAAGGCAGAACGTCGTGATCGGTGCTATGAGTGCGGAGCAAAAGGACATCTAGCAGCGGCTTGTCCAACGAAGAAGGAGGCACAGCAGAAGGCGGTCGCGGCAGGTGATTCCCCGGCGTCTTCAACTGGCGGCACAGGCGGGAGAAGAGCTACCACGACTGCGAAGAGTCAGAGGGGATCCGAGGCAGGGGAGACTACCCAAAACGTCGCAACACCCACAGCAGCAGCTACCTCAACGATGTCAGCCGAGACTCCAGTGCAAGGTGTTCCGGTTGAGCAGCTCATAGAGGACGCGCAGAAGCTGATGAAGGCTTTCATGGAGCAGAAGGCTGCGCCGCATGTCCAGGTGTTTCGTGTCGAGGAAATGGCAAAGAGGGACTGTGGGTCATCGCCGGCACTGCGGGAGTTCTACAGGCAAAACGAGGAGCTGGTGAACTTGAACCGCATGGGACTCTTGGACTCAGGAGCTACACACCCGCTCAGGCCGAAGACGGTGAAGGACAATATTGGCTCCATGGACAACGTTAATGTGACGCTGGCTGGGGAGAACCGGGTGCAGATGGAGCAAAACAAGGCTGGAACCATTGTTTCGGATCAGAACATTCAGCCGATAGTCCCATTGGGTACCCTCATAAAGGCTCTCGGGTACGAGTTCAGTTGGGATCGTCGTGGATGTAGACTTCGCCATCCGGACAAGAAGGAAGTGCGAGTATACACAAGATCTACGTGTCCGGAGGTCATGCAATGCGATGCGCTACGACTCATCGCCGAGTTGGAAGAGGCGAAGCTCACAGAAACGATGAGCTCACTGGCACAGCTGAAGGCCTCGGTTGCAGCAGCAAAGGAGTACCGGGAGAGGGGCTGGAAGGATCAAGTCCGGGACTATATGGTTACCGGCAGCTACGAGGATGGTGTGAAGGCGGTGATGTGTGCGCCGTTTATGAACCATGTGCCTATGCGTGATCAGCTGCAGGTAGTTGTCCCCATGCCAAAGGATGAGAACGAGGCGTGGCAATGGATGAAGAAGTTTCCCATGAATAGGGCCAATCGACGGCGATTATGGCAAGCTCGTGAGTGGACTGTCCACCTGTTTGCTGGGGGAGGAGTGAAAAATGATCCTCTACGTGATCTTCCTGGCTTGGTGGAGGTAGATGCAAAAAGGGGGTGGGACCTCAACGACGACAAGATCTACGGCGTGTTCTTGTGGATGGCCAAGGAGGGACGATTGAGTCATATTGTGGGCGGCCCACCGGCTGGAACGTTCTCGCCATGGCACTACAAGACGGAGGGAGGCAACAGAAAGAGGACGGTTCGCTCTACATGGGAGCCGTGGGGACTCAGAG